GGTCCGTGCTGGTCGACCGTAGTTTGTGTCAGAGGCTGGGTAAGGGAAGTCTCGATCCACGGACACAGACCACGGACCGTGGGTCTGTCCGTGAGTTGGGACTTAGCCAATTTTCTGAGCTGGTTTGGGGAGGGGTTGCAGTGGTGAACCACGGACCACCAGCACGGGCCGTGGTCTGACCTACGGTCCGTGGATGGTGACCGTAAGTTGCACCTGCAACTTCTCGAAATCTGTATTTTCGGTCTGTTTCGAATACGGGGTGTTACACGATCGTGCACAATTACCAAAGTTATTGAATACACTAACTTGCTTTTAGAGTATTCATTTTGGTACTTATATGATATATTTATTTATTTATGACAATTTTGTACACTATTAAAATTTTGTTGACTGAACTTGATAAGAGGAATTTTCACATATACACACTCAAAAATAACTTAATTATGCTCCATAATTGTAGTTTTCTAATTACGATTCGTAGCTACATGTAAGAGGGAGGAGAGAGGCGAGCAAGGGCACAGAGTGAAGAACGGCAAATTGTATATGTATATTTGTCAAATAATTATATATATGTAATTGGTATACATATGTATTTGTATATCTGGCCAGCGAGATTGGGAGAGGGAGGAGAGAGGGCAAAGAGTGGAGAGAGGCGAATTCTATATGTATATATGTCAGATAATTGTATATATGTAACTGATATACACATGTAGTTGAATATTTGGCAAGCGAGACTGGGAGAGGGAGGAGAGAGGTGAGCGAGATTGGGATAGGGAGGAGAGAGGCAAGGGAGAAAGGGCAGAGAGACTAATTGTATTTGTATATATGTCATAAAATTGTATATGTATAATTTGTATTTGTATATGTATAAAAGAGGCGAGAGGCGAGAGAGAGGAAGAGAGGAGACAGGCGATGTAATTACAGCTACAATTAAGCTCCGAGCCGTAATTAATTCAAACTATAGCTATGTTAGCTAATTAACTAGTAAATTTTTGCTTATCCACATATTTTTCCCATTTTATAATGAATATTAATTTTGTCTTAATCAAATGTATACAAATTTGTTAATGAATATAAATCGATATATAACAATGTAAAATTATAAAAATAGTAATGCAAGCAAATGTATACCTATTTATTAGATGAATACGGAAATGAATATCAATCTCGATGTAAATAAATGTATACACATTTTTAGGTGAATACAGACTAATGTATACCAATTTTGGTTGGAACATATGCATACAAAATTGTTAGATGACTATGGACCAATGTATAGCTATGTAAAATAAGAAAGATACTAATACAAATAAATGTATACCAAATTTATTAAGGAATATGGATGAATGTATACCAATCTATTTGATGCATACATATCAATGAATACCAATGCGTATACAAATTTGTTAAGTGAATATGAATTGAGTTTTTCATCGTAACTTCTAGCAAATAGTTGGGACTCTAGGAATATCCATAGTCTTAATTAAATATTTTTTGCTAAGTTTAAGGAGAGAGATAACTCTAAATAATTTTTTGCTAATTTCAAGGGGAAAAATTGGAGGTTAGAAGAGCTAGATATCGTACTCCCTCAGCCAACTTTTAATTGTCTTGTTGTCCTTTTCAAAAGTCAATTTAACTAATTTTCAAAGTTAAATTAGATTACATTAATTTGATATTTTAAACAAAAATTTTAAATATTCAAAAACTATTAGAAAAGTATTATAAATTGCAATATTTTGCATATCAATATGATGATAAAAAGTTACATGTAAAATGTTAGTCAAAGTTTTTATAGTTTGATTTTAAAAAAGTAAACCATGACAACTAAAGTGGACCAAGACAGTATTAAATATCTTTTACTCAAAAATAATTTGAAGAGAGATGTGAGTTAATAAGAATTTCCTCCCAAAATATACTTTGACTAATAACTATAAATTATTTTTGACTTCTATTTGCTAAATAATTATTTGGCAAAGATGTATCAATCCAATCTATGGATTGCATATACAAGTCAAATCCTTGTTAAATACTTTTAGACTTGTGTTTTGTCCTCTAACTCTCATTTCACTCTATATATAGAGAATCACAAATCAACTTCTTTCAAGATTTTGATCATGGCTACT